AGCCCTCCACCACTGGGTCGCGGTGGCCAAGTGGTTAAGGCGTCTGACATTCTGCTACCACTTAAGCCCTCCACCACTGGGTCGTGGTGGCTAAGTGGTTAAGGCGTCTGACATTCTGCTATAAGTAACCCACAACCACTGGGTCGTGGTGGCTAAGTGGTTGAGGCGTCTGACATTTTGCTACCACTAGCCCTCCATCACTGGGTCACGGTGGCTAAGTGGTTAAGGCATCTGACATTCTGCTACCACTAGCCCTCCACCACTGGGTCGCATGGCCGCAGCGGCCAAGTGGTTTAGGCGTCTGACATTCTGCTACCACTAGCCCTCCACCACTTGGTCGCGGTGGCCAAGCGGTTAAGGCGTCTGACATTCTGTTACCACTAGCCCTCCACCACTGGGTCGCGGGGTCGTGGTGGCCAAGTAGCTTTAGGCGTCTGACATTCTGCTACCACTATCCCTCCACCACTGGGTCACGGTGGCCAGGTGGTTAAGCGTCTGACATTCTGCTACCACTAGCCTCCACCACAGCGTCGTTGAGCAGGTAACCACTGGGTCGTGGTGGCCAAGTGGTTCAGGCATCTGACATTCTGCTACCACAAACCCTCAACCACTGGGTCGCGGTGGGCAAGTGGTTAAGGCGTCTGACATTCTGCTACCACTATCCCTCCACCACTGGGTCACGGTGACCAGGTGGTTAAGGCGTCTGACATTCTGCTACCACTAGCTCTCCACCACTGGGTCGCGGTGGCCAAGTGGTTGAGGCGTCTGACATTCTGCTACCACTAGCCCTCCATCACTGGGTCACGGTGGCTAAGTGGTTAAGGCGTCTGACATTCTGCTACCACTAGCCCTCCACCACTGGGTCGCAGTGGCCAAGTGGTTAAGGTGTCTGACATTCTTCTACCACTAGCCCTGCAACACTGGGTTGCGGTGGCCAAGTGGTTAAGGCGTCTGACATTCTGCTACCACTAACTCTCCATCACTGGGTTGCGGTGGCCAAGTGGTTAAGGCGTCTGACATTTTGCTCCCACTAGCCCTCCACCAATGGGTCGCGGTGGCCAAGTGGTTAAGGCGGCTGACATTCTGCTATAACTAACCCTCAACCACTGGGTCGTGTTGGCTAAGTGGTTAAGGCGTCTGACATTCTGCTCCCACTAGCTCCCTCCCACTGGGTCGCAGGGCCGCAGTGGCCAAGTGGTTAAGGGGTCTGACATTCTGCTACCACTAGCCCTCCACCACTAGGTCAGGTGGCCAAGTGGTTAAGGCGTCTGACATTTTGCTACCACTAGCCCTCCACCAATTGGTCGCGGTGGCCAAGTGGTTAAGGCATCTGACATTCTGCTACTACTAGCCCTCCACCACTGGGTCGCGGTGGCCAAGTGGTTAAGGCATCTGACATTCTGCTACTACTAGCCCTCCACCACTTGGTCGCGGTGGCCAAGTGGTTAAGGCGTCTGCCATTCTGCTCCCACTTAAGCCCTCCACCACTGGGTCGTGGTGGCTAAGTGGTTAAGGCGTCTGACATTCTGCTACCCCTTAAGCCCTCCACCACTGGGTCGTGGTGGCTAAGTGGTTAAGGCGTCTGACATTCTGCTATACCTAACCCTCACCCACTGGGTCGTGTTGGCTAAGTGGTTAAGGCGTCTGACATTCTGCTATACCTAACCCTCACCCACTGGGTCGTGTTGGCTAAGTGGTTAAGGCGTCTGACATTCTGCTATAACTAACCCTCAACCACTGGGTCGTGTTGGCTAAGTGGTTAAGGCGTCTGACATTCTGCTATACCTAACCCTCACCCACTGGGTCGTGTTGGCTAAGTGGTTAAGGCGTCTGACATTCTGCTATAACTAACCCTCCCCCACTGGGTCGAGGTGGCCAAGTGGTTAAGGGGTCTGACATTCTACTACCACTATCCCTCCACCACTGGGGCGCAGTGGCCAAGTGGTTAAGGTGTCTGACATTCTACTACCACTATCCCTCCACCACTGGGGCGCAGTGGCCAAGTGGTTAAGGTGTCTGACATTCTTCTACCACTAGCCCTCCACCACTGGGTCGCGGTGGCCAGGTGGTTAAGGTGTCTGACATTCTGCTACCACTTAAGCCCTCCACCACTGGGTCGTGGTGGCTAAGTGGTTAAGGCGTCTGACATTCTGCTACGACTTAAGCCCTCCACCACTGGGTCGTGGTGGCTAAGTGGTTAAGGCGTCTGACATTCTGCTATACCTAACCCTCACCCACTGGGTCGTGTTGGCTAAGTGGTTAAGGCGTCTGACATTCTGCTATACCTAACCCTCACCCACTGGGTCGTGTTGGCTAAGTGGTTAAGGCGTCTGACATTCTGCTATACCTAACCCTCACCCACTGGGTCGTGTTGGCTAAGTGGTTAAGGCGTCTGACATTCTGCTATAACTAACCCTCAACCACTGGGTCATGGTGGCTAAGTGGTTGAGGCGTCTGACATTCTGCTACCACTAGCCCTCCATCACTGGGTCATGGTGGCTAAGTGGTTAAGGCGTCTGACATTCTGCTATACCTAACCCTCACCCACTGGGTCGTGTTGGCTAAGTGGTTAAGGCGTCTGACATTCTGCTACTACTAGCCCTCCACCACTGGGTCGCGGTGGCTAAGTAGTTAAGGCGTCTGACATTCTGCTATAACTAACCCACAACCACTGGGTCGTGGTGGCTAAGTGGTTGAGGCGTCTGACATTCTGCTACCACTAGCCATCCACCACTGGGTCGCGGTGGCCAAGTGGTTGAGGCGTCTGACATTCTGCTACCACTAGCCCTCCATCACTGGGTCACGGTGGCTAAGTGGTTAAGGCGTCTGACATTCTGCTACTACTAGCCCTCCACCACTTGGTCGCGGTGGCCAAGTGGTTAAGGCGTCTGACATTCTGCTACCACTAGCTCTCCACCACTGGGTCGCGGGGCCGCGTTGGCCAAGTAGTTTTGGCGTCTGACATTCTGCTATAACTAACCCTCCACCACTGGGTCGAGGTGGCCAAGTGGTTAAGGTGTCTGACATTCTACTACCACTATCCCTCCACCACTGGGTCGCAGTGGCCAAGTGGTTAAGGTGTCTGACATTCTACTACCACTAGCCCTCCACCACTGGGTCACGGTGACCAGGTGGTTAAGGCGTCTGACATTCTGCTACCACTAGCCCTCCACCACTAGGTCGCGGTGGCCAAGTGGTTAAGGCGTCTGACATTCTGCTATAACTAACCCTCCACCACTGGGTCGAGGTGGCCAAGTGGTTAAGGCATCTGACATTCTGCTACCACTAGCTCTCCACCACTGGGTCGCGGTGGCCAAGTAGTTTAGGAGTCTGACATTCTGCTACCACTAGCTCTCCACCACTGGGGCGCGGCGGCCTAGTGGTTAAGGCATCTGACATTCTGCTACCACTAGCTCTCCACCACTGGGGCGCGGCGGCCTTGTGGTTAAGGCATCTGACATTCTGCTACCACTATAGCCCTTCACCACTGGGTCGTGTGGCTGCAGTGGCCAAGTGGTTAAGGCGTCTGACTTTCGGCTTACACTAGCCCTCCACCACTGGGTCGCGAGTTCAAGGCCTACGTAGGGCAGTCGCCAGGTACTGGCCGTACGTCGTTGTTTTTCTCCGGAACCCTGGCTTTCCTTCACCACCGAAACCTGGCATGTCCTTAAATGACCATAGCTATTAATTATACATGTATAATAATAGGAGGTTAATTTTAAAACACAAACAAATCAACCCTGGCATGTCCCTGCATGATCATATAGCTGTTAATTATATATATGATAGGACGTAAATTTTAAAACACAAACAAACCAAACCAAAGCAGCTAGGTTAGGCAAAGCTGTGGAAACACCCCAGTGCTTAATTTACTGTTACCCCTTTCATCACTGTAGACCATAATGGACTCATCCATATCAATGCATGAAAGATTCCACTAAAGTGACATAGGGGTGAAAATTGTTCAGTTAGTGACTAAAACGGTTGTGTTATATGTACATTGTAAGTGGACAGAGCTAGGAATAAACTTTTTTCTCTCTAGATTACACAAGTCTACAATGCTGTGTAAACAATTAGATGTAACTTTTGAAGGTTGTCTGTGTTAGCTAGGTCACCGTTATTATTTCTCTACTCCTGTTTCTGTTCAGGCACCCAGTAAAAACTATTGGAACAATTACAAAATTGTACAAGTAATTATACAGATATGATTTTCTTTGCATTAGGGGATTACTTATTATGTACTGTGTGTAATGTATCATTATCACAACCCAGACTTAATGAGGTGTGCTTTGTTACTGTGTCATAATAGCTGTTATTAACGTATCTAACTACAGGAGAAAGACACTGACAAACAACAAAATGTCAACCATACAGACTGTCACCTACATACTAGCTGCTCCGAGCTCCCACAGAACCTGTAGAAACGCTATCCTCACGTTTAAAACAGCACTGTCAGCTTGATCAAATACTTTTCTCAAAATTATTTATTTACTTTTTGATATTCACGTAAATATGTTTTGATCGGCTTTGAAAATTATGATTTCTTTTAAGAAATAATGAACTAATTAAGTATTTTGGTAGAAATTTTAGGATTTTTTTTTTTTAATTTCATATATTGGACTAAAACTGTGCAGACTTGAGTAGAATTTGTGATAATGCTATATGCTAGCCGAGATCAATACAAGGTGTATCCATACACAGGCCACTGACACAGGATCTCTACATCTATGGTGAGGCAGGCTGGAAACCGCTACATCTGTCAGTGTGTGTGAAGCTTGGATAAAACAGCATCATTTAAGTCTCTCAACCAGTGACATCGTTAAACAACCAAATCTGACAGAGTGACCTGGACCTTTGGTTGATGTAACCTTGACTTTGAATGGGTGTGACCTTGACCTCATGTCTATCTAACCTTGACCTTCGGCTAATGCTTACATGTAGAAGGGAGTTTCTTTTGTTTGCTGCTAAATGTACTTTTAGGTACATTCGTCTATGGATGCAGTATATTAGAGATCGGGGACTCATATTAATATCTATATTACATCAATTGGCATTCATCTGGTACCAGTTGTGCAGTTCGTAGAGTGTGACCTGGATCTAACGTCAGGATTGATGGTCATATTGCTTTGACCCAGTAATGACTTTTCTCCTGGCCTCGACCTTTGACTGCCTGTGACTTGGACAACGTGTATTATTTTTAGTATGTCAAACTGACAATTTTTTAACCATGTCTGAACTTCTGTAACCAAGTCTGAACTCCTGTGACCGAGACTGAACTTCTGAGACAGAGTCTGAACTTCTGTGACCGAGTTTGAACTTCTGTGACCGAATCTGAACTTCTGTGACCAAGCCTGAACTTCTGTGACCAAGCCTGAACTTTTGTGACCAAGTCTGAACTTCTGTGACCAATCCTGAACTTCTGTGACCGAGTCTGAACTTCTGTGACCGAGTCTAAACTTCAGTGACTTCTGTGACCAAGCCTGAACTTCTGTGACCAAGTCTGAACTTCTGTGACCAAGTCTGAACTTCTGTGACCTAGTTTGAACTTCTGTAACCAAGTCTGAACTTCTGTAACCAAGTCTGAACTTCTGTGACTGAGTCTGAACTTCTGTGACCTAGTCTGAACTTCTGTGACCGAGTCTGAACTTCTGTGACCGAGTCTGAACTTCTGTGACCAAGCCTGAACTTCTGTGACCAAGCCTGAACTTTTGTGACCAAGCCTGAACTTTTGTGACCAAGTCTGAACTTCTGTGACCAAGCCTGAACTTCTGCGAAAAAACCCGGATATTTGCCTGGTAACTGTTTCAGGCAACAGTTTGAAATAATGTGAATATTTGTTTATAACTTTTACAATGTATTTTGACCTTGACCCTTGGTTTTGTCTGTGACCTCTGTTTGCGTGTTACTATATTTGGAGTAAACAACCTGAACCTTTGTGTAATATATTTTCAGGGATGTAAGTTTATGTGGTGATCTTGATTCTCCTTCAGTGCCTACTGTGATTGGAATCAAATAGACTGTGATGGGATCAGTTGACTGGAAATCCACTGGAATGTTCTGAGCTCAGGTTTGTATTTGCATTTAATTTAAAAAAAAATTAAATTATCAAAATATATCAATAATATTTGCATGGAATTAAATATAACTTTATATTTTGCAAAAAGTATATGTACAAAATGTATTTTATAACTTTAAATTCCTGTGCTGGGACATACATACAATGGTATTCATTACACACTTTGTCTCCTATTTCACCTGTTCAAATATCTCTGTCACACCATAGATATATTAATTCTGTGTTACCCCAAGGGGTATGATTTCTGTTACCCCAAGGGGTATGATTTCTGTTCCCCCCAAGGGTATGATTTATGTAACCCCCAGGGATATGATTTCTGTTACCCCCAGGGATATGATTTATGTAACCCCCAGGGATATGATTTATGTAACCCCCAGGTATATGATTTCTGTTACCCCCAAGGGTATGATTTATGTAACCCCCAGGGGTATGATTTATGTAACCCCCAGGGATATGTTTTCTGTTACCCCCAGATGTATGCTTTCTGTTACCCCCAGATTTTGGATTTCTGTTACCCCAAGGGATATGATTTCTGTTTCCCCCAGGGATATGTTTTCTGTTACCCTAGATGTATGATTTCTGTAACCCCCAGGGGTATGATTTCTGTTGCTCCCAGGGATATGATTTATGTTGCTCCCAGGGATATGATTTATGTTACCCCAGGGATATGATTTCTGTTACCCCCAGATGTATGCTTTCTGTTACCCCAAGGGGTATTATTTCTGTTACCCCCAGATGTATGCTTTCTGTTACCCCCAGGGATATATTTTCTGTAACCCCAAGATGTATGCTTTCTGTTACCCTCTAGATGTATGTTTTCTGTTACCCCCAGATGTATGATTTCTGTTTCCCCAAGGGGTATGATTTCTGTTACCCCCAGGGATATGATTTCTGTTGCACCAAGGGATATGATTTCTGTTAACCCTGGGGTAGGTTTTCTGTTACCCCCAGGGATATGATTTCTGTTACCCCCAGGGGTACGATTTCTGTTACCCACTAGATGTATGATTTCTGTTACCCCCAGATGTATGATTTATGTTACCCCCAGGGATATGATTTCTGTTACCCCCAGATGTATGATTTCTGTTACCCCCAGATGTATGATTTCTGTTACCCCCAGGGTATGATTTCTGTTACCCACAGATGTATGATTTATGTTACCCCCTCAGATGTATGATTTCTGTTACCCCCAGGATTATGATTTCTGTTACCCCAAGATGTATGATTTCTGTTGCCCTCAGATGTAAGATTTATGTTACCCTCACATGTATGATATCTGTTACCCCCAGGGTTAAGATTTCTGTTACCCCCAGGGATATGATTTCTGTTACCTCCAGATGTAATTTCTGTTACCCCCAGGGGAATGATTTCTGCTACCCCAGGGGAATGATTTCTGTTACCCAAGGGATATGATTTCTGTTACCCCAAGGGGTATGATTTCTGTTACCCCAAGGGGTATTATTTCTGTTACCCCCTAGATGTATGATTTCTGTTACCCTCTCCGATGTATGATTTCTGTTTCCCCCAGGGATATGATTTCTGTTACCCCCGGATGTTGGGTTTCTGTTACCCCCAGGTGTATGATTTCTGTTACCCCCTCAGCTGTATGATTTCTGTTTCCCCCAGGCATATGATTTCTGTTACCCCCAGATGTATGATTTCTGTTACCCCTAGATGTATGATTTCTGTTACCCCCAGGGGTATGATTTCTGTTACCCCCAGGGATATGATTTATGTAACCCCCAGGTATATGATTTCTGTTACCCCCTAGATGTATGATTTCTGTTACCCCCTCAGATGTATGATTTCTGTTTCCCCCAGGGATATGATTTATGTTACCCTCAGGGGTATGATTTCTGTTACCCCCAGATGTATGATTTCTGTTACCCCCAGGGGTATGACTTCTGTTACCCCCAGGGGTATGACTTCTGTTACCCCCAGGGGTATGATTTATGTAACCCCCAGGTATATGATTTCTGTTACCCCCAGATGTATGATTTCTGTTTCCCCCAGGTGTATGATTTCTGTTACCCCCAGGGATATGATTTTTGTTACCCCCAGGGATATGATTTCTGTTACCCCCAGTGGTATGATTTCTGATACCCCCAGGGATATGATTTCTGTTACCCCCTCAGATGTATGATTTCTGTTTCCCCCAGGGGTATGATTTCTGTTACCGCCAGGGATATGATTTTTGTTACCCCCAGGGATATGATTTCTGTTACCCCCAGATGTATGATTTCTGTTACCCCCAGGGGTATGACTTCTGTTACCCCCAGGGGTATGATTTATGTAACCCCCAGGTATATAATTTATGTAACCCCCAGGTATATGATTTATGTAACCCCCAGGTGTATGATTTCTGTTACCCCCAGATGTATGATTTCTGTTACCCCAGATGTTGGATTTCTGTTACCCCCAGGGATATGATTTCTGTTACCCCCAGTGATATGATTTCTGTTGCACCAAGGGATATGATTTCTGTTTCCCCCAGGGATATGATTTCTGTTGCACCAAGGGATATGATTTCTGTTTCCCCCAGGGATATGTTTTCTGTTACCCCCAGATGTATGATTTCTGTTACCCCCAGATGTTGGATTTCTGTTACCCCCAGGGATATGATTTCTGTTACCCCCAGTGATATGATTTCTGTTACCCCCAGATGTATGATTTCTGTTACCCCCAGATGTTGGATTTCTGTTTCCCCCAGGGATATGATTTCTGTTACCCCCAGGTATATGATTTCTGTTGCACCAAGGGATATGATTTCTGTTACCCCCAGGGATATGTTTTCTGTTACCCCCAGATGTATGTTTTCTGTTACCCCCTAGATGTATGATTTCTGTTACCCCCAGGTATATGATTTCTGTTTCCCCCAGGGGTATGACTTCTGTTACACCCAGATGTATGATTTCTGTTACCCCTAGATGTAAGATTTCTGTTTCCCCCAGGGGTATGATTTCTGTTACCCCCAGGGATATGATTTCTGTTACCCCCAGGAATTTGATTTCTGTTACCCCAGATGTATGATTTCTGTTACCCCTAAATGTAAGATTTCTGTTTCCCCGAGGGGTATGATTTCTGTTACCCCCAGGGATATGATTTCTGTTACCCCCAGGAATTTGATTTCTGTTACCCCAGATGTATGATTTCTGTTACCTCCAGATGTATGTTTTCTGTTACCCCCAGATGTTGGATTTCTGTTACCCCAGGGATATGATTTCTGTTACCCCCAGATGTATGCTTTCTGTTACCCCCTAGATGTATGATTTCTGTTACCCCTAGATGTAAAATTTCTGTTTCCCCCAGAGGTAATATTTCTGTTACCCCCAGGGATATGGTTTCTGTTTCCCCCAGATGTATGCTTTCTGTTACCCCCTAGATGTATGATTTCTGTTACCCCTAGATGTAATATTTCTGTAACCCCCAGAGATATGATTTCTGTTACCCCAAGGGGTTTGATTTCTGTTACCCCCAGATGTATGCTTTCTGTTACCCCCAGGGATATGTTTTCTGTTACCCCAGGGATATGATTTCTGTTACCTCCAGATGTATGCTTTCTGTTACCCCCTAGATGTATGATTTCTGTTCCCCCTAGATGTATGATTTCTGTTACCCCTAGATGTAAAATTTCTGTTTTCCCCAGAGGTTTTTCCCCAGGGATATGATTTCTTATGATTTCTGTTACCCCGAGATGTATGCTTTCTGTTACCCCCAGATGTATGATTTCTGTTACCCCTAGATGTATGATTTCTGTTACCCCTAGATGTAAGATTTCTGTTTTCCCCAGGGATATGATTTCTGTTCCCCCCAGGAATTTGATTTCTGTTACCCCAGAGGTAATATTTCTGTTACCCCCAGATGTATGCTATCTGTTACCCCCTCGATGTATGATTTCTGTTACCCCCAGAGGTAAAATTTCTGTTTTCCCCAGAGGTAATATTTATGTTACCCCCAGGGGTATGATTTCTGTTACCCCCAGTAGATGTAAAATTTCTGTTTCCCCCAGAGGTAATATTTCTGTTACCCCCAGATGTATGCTATCTGTTACCCCCTAGATGTATGATTTCTGTTACCCCCAGAGGTAAAATTTCTGTTTCCCCCAGAGGTAATATTTCTGTTACCCCCAGAGGTAAAATTTCTGTTTTCCCCAGAGGTAATATTTCTGTAACCCCCAGGGGTATGATTTCTGTTACCCCCATGGATATGATTTCTGTTTCCCCAAGGGGTTTGATTTCTGTTACCCCCAGATGTATGCTTTCTGTTACCCCCAGGGATATGATTTCTGTTACCCCCAGATGTATGCTTTCTGTTACCCCCTAGATGTATGATTTCTGTTACCCCTAGATGTAAAATTTCTGTTTCCCCCAGAGGTAATATTTCTGTTACCCCCAGATGTATGCTTTCTGTTACCCCCTAGATGTATGATTTCTGTTACCCCTAGATGTAAGATTTCTGTTTCCCCCAGAGGTAATATTTCTGTTACCCCCAGAGGTATGATTTCTGTTTTCCCCAGAGGTAATATTTCTGTAACCCCCAGGGGTATGATTTCTGTTACCCCCATGGATATGATTTCTGTTTCCCCAAGGGGTTTGATTTCTGTTACCCCCAGATGTATGCTTTCTGTTACCCCCAGGGATATGATTTCTGTTACCCCCAGATGTATGCTTTCTGTTACCCCCTAGATGTATGATTTCTGTTACCCCTAGATGTAAGATTTCTGTTTCCCCCAGAGGTAATATTTCTGTTACCCCCAGGTGTATGCTTTCTGTTACCCCCTAGATGTATGATTTCTGTTACCCCTAGATGTAAGATTTCTGTTTCCCCCAGAGGTAATATTTCTGTTACCCCCAGATGTATGCTTTCTGTTACCCCCTAGATGTATGATTTCTGTTACCCCTAGATGTAAGATTTCTGTTTCCCCCAGAGGTATGATTTCTGTTATCCCCAGATGTTTGCTTTTGTGACCCCCTAGATGTATGCTTTCTGTT